CATTTTTTGGCACACTAAGCTCAAAAGGTTGCCTACCCCTGCTCTAGAGATTCGCATTAAACCTTGATGCAATTCCTATGTCATTTCTACCTTTTTTTTTTTTTACCTAAATTCACATTGTGGCAGGGCCTCGCTCTGTCACACATGTGTACATTCCAAACGTAGCCCTGTTGTACACAAACAGTGATTACATTTTAGCACCAAGTTTGAACAGTTTACACTCAGAGTGAAGTCTCAGGTGGATGATCAGGTGTTACTTCAAACTACTGGTAGCATACCAACGCCCCTTCCACTTAGAGCCCTTTTAAGGTACTTTGGGGCAACACGCCCCCCCTTCCCACCAGGATTCGTTACAGGATGGTCTACACCTGGGTTATTGTGTACTTCTTCTTCTTACACTTAGGCCAGGCAAAAAGGGGGCCAAATCAAACAACAGGGGAACATTCTCTCAGCCGAAGCCCCGCACAACCTTCAAAATACATCCCTTGTGCTGGAGCAGCACTTGCTTTTAACACCAGTGTCAGCATTTGATTCTAGCTCTTTTTCAGGCACACAAGTGGCCTACTTGACAAAAGCAGAATTTTCTGCATCTTTTTCAGAACTCCTCATACAGGTTACAGCTGTACCACAGCCATCTTTGTCCAGGGCTCAAAAATTCCCCCACTTCTTGTTGGAGGAAGCTGCAGAAGATTTGTCTTCCCCACATTGTCCCTATATACTTAATGTGACATGCACGCTAACATTATAAAGCTCATTACCTCTGTCCACAAAAGCCTTGGCATTGTGCAAATTGAGACTCCTCCATCCCGCCACGCCCCTTTGGGCACAAAGAGACCAGTGAAATCTTGCAAAACCTTTCAGATAGCTTACACAGTCTATAAAAATTGGGTCCTTCTTGAACAAGTTTTCACTCCCCAAAAAAAACAATTTTCTGAAGATGTTGGCAAAAAAGTGGGCTATTCCTGTAGTTGATCCTTTTGCATCTGCCCTAAACAAACATATCACTGTACCTAAGATTCTGCTGAAATTTTGCGATGCTTTTAAAAGTCCTCTTTTACCTTTTTAGGCCCAGCCCTGCAGCTAACTAGACTAGGACAATGAATAACCAACATTACTCTGCATTTCAGGATCGTCCTGTTGCAGAACTGTAACAACAGTTGCCTTCTAACAATGAAAGTAATACTGCTGGAATGCCCTCCAAAACCATATCAGTCGGATCAGCATGAGAATAGACTGGTGCAAGACAGGATTGTTTTCTCGTGTTCTAGTAAACTTCAACAAAATGGTAGACATTTGCATACAGACACCGACTACAGGTGGAGATCAGGAGCTGAACCTATCTTTTATTAATTTCTTTTACATTCGTGCAACAGGGAGTCGGTATCTGTGTGCAGACATCTGCCATTTTGTTGAACAGTTGCCTTTTTTTCTTTTTTAGTGTATATCCTCTAAAACATGTCATGAGATAAATATCCAGAATGTGCCCATTCATCAACCTCATCTGCGATTTCTATGTTTTGCAGTGGCAGACAACCACTTCCTATTTATTGCACTGCCCTTTAGCCTATCATATGCTCCCAAAGTATTGAAAATAATCTTTGCACCCTTGCTTGCCCTTGTCAGAACTCATGGCATACAGGTGACAGGATATCTAGGTGAACTTCTACTGAATTGATTGATCTCCCTTGCAACTCTTAGTGAATGTGAAAGACAATCTGCTCCTGGACTTTGGCTTGGTGATCAGTTTAATCAAATCTGCTCTGCAGCACTCCCTGTACCTACTTGGAACTGATCCTGGAAAGTTCTTTCTCTAAGAGCTCATGCTCGACAACTGAGATTCAAAAGATAATCGCTGTGAGAGTTCTAGGTCTAATGGTTGCCTCTTTTGCGGTAGTATCTGTTGCTCATTCCACTCAAGAACTCTCTATAAAAAGATTCTGGTAGCATGGAAGAAGCAGGTGTTTTCCCTAGACTCCCAAGGCCCAGGCTGCTGTCTAGCCAAACAAGAACTTCCCTGTCCTGTTGGACCACCACTCCAGCTCTAACGGTGGCAAATTCTTTCCTTCCTTACAATTGGAGGGCTCTTCCAACCTTTGACAGTTCAAGGGACACTGAATTCTGGTGCAGTCAGTGCTACCACAATGGCATATATCAACCTTCAGGAGGGCACGAGGAGCCTGGCTGCCCTGAAAGAAGTAAACCAGATTCTCTCGTGGACAGAAATTCACTGTCCAGTGATTTCTGCAGTCCACATCCTAGGTGTGGACAAGTAGCTGGATTATCTCATCCACCACCACTTGGACCGAGGGGAATGGTTTCTTCATCACGATGTGTTAATGCTGATATGCCAGAGATGAAGGACTCCGTATGTGGACATCCTAGCCTTCAGATACAACAAGCTACCTCCTCTGTTGCTAGAAGCAGGGATCCTCTCGCTCTGGCCTTGGATGCTCTAATTATCTCCTGGTATTACTTCAGGCAAATGTATGCCTTCCCTTCACTGCAAATTCTTCCTCGCCTGCTGCACAAGGGAGGAAAACGTTGAGCCTGCTTGCACAGAACAGGCCAAAAGAACTTGGTACGGACATACTCCGTTTTATTGCAGATGATCCCTGGTCCCTTCCCAACAGGCCAGATCTGCTATCTCAATGTCCACTATTTCGCCAAGAGTCCCTGGCATGGTGGCTGTTGAAATCCAGGTCTTAAAGGATAAAGGGATTTCTGAGTCTATAATTTCTACTTTGCTAAAAAAGCAAGAAAGGCCACTTTCAAGAAGATCTAGTATCATACCTGGAAACCTTTCTTTGCCTGGTGTGAACGTAGTCTATACAGCCTCAGAGATTACGCAGTGCCTCCCATTCTGGCATTCCTACAAACAGATATTGACTAGAGTGTAGCTCTTAGCACCCATTGTTTTTCAAAGGCCTCTGGCTTTACATTCCCTGATGAAGACCTTTTGTTCAAGAATAAACATGTTATACTTCTCTGTTTTATGCAATAATATTGCACAGAGAGGCCCCAATCCTTCTCTTCAGGGCTTTCCAGGTTACTCATTTTCTCAGTGTACCACCATAGGAAATTGCTTCCTATGGGGGCACACCTGTGGGCTCAATCCAGAGCCAGTCTGTGTGTGTGTCTGTTGACACACATAGAGCGACTCAGCCCCACCCCCAGATGTCTGCTTACAGGATTTGATTTACGGAAGCAGGATCCAATGGCTCTGTGAGCAGAGAGAGAGAGGAAAGAGCCGCTGCAGATGGACACAGCACTGGATATAGATATAATTTTTAGGGCATTTTTTTCTTAATACACATAATGCATTAAGGTATAAAATGTTGAGCCTTTAGTCCCACTTTAATTTGGTTCTCTCTGTCCTGCAGAAACCACCCTTTGAACCCATCAGCAATGTTCCCTTAGAGCTTCTTGCCAGCAAAGTAGCCTTTTTGGTGGTCATCATATCTGATGGCCCTTTCCAGTAAAGAGCCTTTCCATAACCATAAGGTTGTATTACACCCAAAACCACCCTTTCTTCCACAGGTGGTTTCAACATTCCATCTCAATGAGGATATTGTTCTGTCATCCTTGTGCCCCACACCTAACCATCCTAAGGAATTCTCTCTACATTACCTGGACATAGTCAGAGCCCTTGGTGTGTCATAAAAGCTATTGCTTCCATAAAAACAAACAGATTCCCTGTTTATTCTCTCCTTGGGACCTTGCACCCTGCTTCAAAATCCATCATTGCACAGTGGATCATGTACTGTATGATAAAGATAAGAGGAAAGTTGACTCGCCTTTAAATTTCATATTGTGGAGTACAGTACGGGACACCCTCCCCAAACTCTCCTTGTTACTCTGCATTTCTTGCTACAAAACCCATGACTTGAAAAGTGGGGTACGGTTATACGGGAGCCCTCAAAAGCTTGCCAGTATCCAGTTACTTGCAGGTGCAAGCCTATAACCCATGGTGTATGGATAAGTTTCCAATGTCCTGTACTGTACTTTAAGATATGAAATTAGCAGATAAGTTAAAATTTCTCTTTCACATTGACAATTGAAGTCAGTCTTCACACAATTTCTTTGTAAAGAAATCAAATCCTTAAAATCCCTTTGTAAATCTGCTTCTACATGTCATATGATCGGTAGATCCAAATAATGTACAGCAGGTGAAAGTTATGTACAAATTTTTTCCGGTACTAAAGCTTGTTCCTACTCTCTCATGCCTTCCTTTTGGTCCTTTAATGTAGCAGGGAGGTCTCTTTGAATAAATAGCATGTTTCTTTTTACAGGGAAGGTTGAGATTTACATGCAATTCCATTATTGAATGATGTTGATTTCTGCGCATACATTTTTTCATCTGGAATTAAACCAGTGCATTTTTAAAGAAAATCTGTGGCTACATTTATGTGAGAAGCATGGCCAGATCTAGGGGGGTGCTGGGGTGGGTTGCCCCCCCAGGTTGCCCCCCCCCATCCCCACACTCAGGTCCGGGACAAGGGTGGGAGGGCAACCTGGTGCAGGTAAGGAAAGTGAAAAAGTCCAGAAAGAAGTGGTAGAGTGTGGGTAGGAGGTGTGGGCTGTACTGTGCTCTCCTCCTCCTGCCAGAACGGCGATCCTCCATGTTGCATGTGACACAGGATTGCTGTTATATCGGATTGTATGTAGTTTGACTGTGTGTGTACAGTCCAATGTAAGTGATCCCGTTGCATCTGCTGCGTGGAAGAGCGCTGTTCTGAAAGGAGGAGGAGAGTACAACCCAGCCCACACCTCCTCCCGGCTCTGTAGCAATTTCCCGCTGGTAAGTTTTTTTTGGGGGGGGGGGGGGGGAATTGTATTGGGAACACAATGCCTAGCAATGCAGAGTATATTATGCAAATGTGGGTTTAGCGAATGGCTACGTCATTTTTATTTGACTGTTGAAAAATTGTAACAATGTTATTTTGTATAAAAGTTCTGATTTTATATTTAGATACTTTTTTTTTTTTTTTTACAACGGCTAGGTTTGTATTCGTCCCCAAATACATGAAGTAATTGAAATGCCCCAGCAAGTCCCTCCGATTCAAAACCAAAAAAGACGGAGGACCGTAAATGAGGAGCTGAGCAGACAGCTACTTAATGAAGCAACTGCAGTTCTCAACCAAAAAGAAGACGAGTTTGATGCATTTGGTGTTACTGTTGCAGCAAAGTTACGCAAAATGGATGAAAAACAAAGACTATTATCAGAGGTTCTTATCACTGATATTTTGTTTAAAGGGATGATGAAGAAACTCACTGAAGAAACAAGTATTTCTCTTTTCCAAAGTCCTCACTATTCTTGTCAAATACCTGGTTGCTCCAATTCAGTTGACTATGCTTTTTCAAGTGCTCATCAACCAACTTTACTGCGACAAGATTTTGTCTCCCTGAACCATGAGTATAACTGTACTAGTACACCTGCCAGGGCAAGCACTTCATTTTGTTTATCAACAATGCCTGTTTCTCAAGTAACAGAATCTTCTCCTTACAAAGAAGAACATTTATAACTACCTTTTTGCAAAAAAAAAACTTGTGCCCCACACTTTCTACTGTGTTTTTACTCTGACACTAATTTACATTTGTTTTATTTAGGTTATAATTTAATTTTTTATTGTACAGTTTATAAGTCGGTCTTTTTATATTAAGGTTTATAAGTACATTGATTATCATGAATAACTGTTTTCCTTCTGCCATTTTTCAAGGGAAAGTTATAAAAAAAGTAACCATCTGATGGACCAAGCCATGGACCTAACTTCCATTACTTCCTTTTAACAGTTAACTCCAGTTTTGTAAGAAAAATAAATAAAAAGATATAGGATTTACAATTGACACATAGGCCATTTTATTTTGCTGACAACTCTGATTTTCTGAAACTGGCAAAAAAAAAATATACCTTGTGAAAAGAAGGCAAATTGTACACTTTTTACAAAACTCTTCCCATAATCGTTATCACTGAGCTTGTCAGCAATCCAGCGCTGTGGCTGCAGGTGTTCTCTTTTCACTTCAGGTTTCACAGGAGGCTCAAGCAGCAAGAGCCATTGGCTTTCAGTCAAAATCCTTTGAGGCATAGCCGAGCCACACTGTGTGTTTATGGACACACACAGCTCAGGAGCAAGCCACTATAGCACACACCTTGCTATGGGGACACACGCAAGAAAAGAGGGGCAGAAAGTGCAGCCAGGGAACTCAAATAGAGGATGTATAGGGCCACTCTGTGCAATACCATTGCGCAGAGCAAGTAAGTATAGCATCCTTTTTATTAAAAAAAAGAAAAGTAGGCTTCACAACCACTTTAATCGTACAGTACAGGCAGGGGCAGACTGACAACTCATGGGGCCCCCGGGCAATAGGGGATCATGGGGCCCCTGTGTCCTTGCCCAAACTCAAAAAAGCCTATGAAAAAAGTACCAGGGGCATCGCATGGGGCCCCCTACTGACCCCAGGCCCTCAGGCAGTGCCCGAGTTTCCAAATGGTCAGTCGGCCCCTGAGTACAGCACTTCTATTCATAGGCCATGATATATGCAGGATACCTACAGATGATTAGATACTGGCAAAAAAAAAATGCTTGGGTTGCCCCTAGTGCACACTCATATAACCCTACTTCAGTTTTTTTCTTCCTAGCATACTTTGGTAATGGACTTGTTCTTCTCTGGAGAAGTATTAAATAGACATATAGTGCAGAATGGAAAAATGTGTTTTACTTCGGATAAATTTGTTATGTTACTAATTTTGTTTCGTAATGTGTTTAGTTTCTTTTATTCATTTTCTAACTAATTCCAAATCTTTAGAATGATTCGAATTTGTCAAACATGTATCGACTGATCCGAATTCTGTGTGAAGAATAGCTTGTTGTTAAAGTAGAGTTCCAGCCATTTTTGTGTTTATTAAAAGTCAGCAGCTACACAAACTGTAGCTGCTGACTTTTAATAAACACACATTTACCTGTCCCGGGGTCCAGCGATGTACTCACCCACACAGTGCCTTCTCTCCTGTCCTCCACGGCGCCGGCATCTCTACTGTGGGCACCAGGCTGTGACAGCTTGTGGCTTCACAGGCTGGTGCCCATTGGGCATGCGCGAGTCATGCCGCACCTCCCGATTGCTCCGGCAGTCTGCTGGGGACCTGTGAAAGTTCCCATAAGACTGCTGGAGCAAGGAGGGAGCCGAACTACCAGCTATGCTGCTACGACTGAGTTGGAAGTGGGGAGTGGGTACCTGTCCCGGGGTCCAGCGATGTACTCACCCACACAGTGCCTTCTCTCCTGTCCTCCACGGCGCCGGCATCTCTACTGTGGGCACCAGGCTGTGACAGCTTGTGGCTTCACAGGCTGGTGCCCATTGGGCATGCGCGAGTCATGCCGCACCTCCCGATTGCTCCGGCAGTCTGCTGGGACCTGTGAAAGTTCCCATAAGACTGCTGGAGCAAGGAGGGAGCCGAACTACCAGGTCACTTTGCTGCTACGAACTGAGTTGGAAGTGGGAGTGGGTACCTGTCCCGGGGTCCAGCGATGTACTCACCCACACAGTGCCTCTCTCCTGTCCTCCACGGCGCCGGCATCTCTACTGTGGGCACCAGGCTGTGACAGCTTGTGGCTTCACAGACTGGTGCCCATTGGGCATGCGCGAGTCATGCCGCACCTCCCGATTGCTCCGGCAGTCTGCTGGGACCTGTGAAAGTTCCCATAAGACTGCTGAAGCAAGGAGGGAGCCGAACTACCGGGTCACTTTGCTGCTACAAACTGAGTTGGAAGTAGGAGTGGGTACCTGTCAAAACCAGGACATTTGTTTTTTGGGGTTTTTTAATAAAGGACTTGTCAAAAACTGTTGTAATGGTTTACTTTTTGCACCTTTTTGGTAAATGAGGTGGGGTAACGCCCAGGGTTGTGAGGAAAAGACCCTTGTACCCATCAGCATGAGGACAAGGTGCTATGAGGGTGGAGCCCCGCTTGCCCCAAAGCACCCCCCCCCCAGGTTGAGCGCATGTGGCCTAGTATTGTTCGGGACGGGGGGGGCGCTCACTCGTCCCCCGTCCCCCCCCCTTTCCTGACCTGCCGGGGCTGCATGCTCAGATAAGGTTCTGGTATGGATTTTGTGTGGGACCCCATACAGTTTTGTTTTTTTTGGCATGGGGTTCCCCTTAAAATCTGTACCAGATCCAAAGGACCTGGTATGGATTTGGGGGGACCCCCACATTTTTTTTTTTTTTTAAATCGGCATTTGTAAGATACGAAACAAATTCCAAAAACTGATACTGAGTAGCATTTTTTTTTTAAATGGCATGCGGTCCCCCCTATCATCATGGGGACAAGGTGCTTGGTGCTGCCCCAAAGCACCCCCCCCCCCATGTTGGGGGCATGTGGCCTGGTATGGTTCAGGAGGGTTGGACTCATCCCGCCTTTCCTGACTTGTCGGGCTGTGTGCTGAGATAAGGGTCTGGTATGGATTTTGGTGGTATTTGATCATCACTGGGTTTTTAATTTTTTGCTCTATAAATGAAAAAAGATCGAAAATGTTTTTAAAAAAATATTTTCTACATTCTGTAATAAAAATGATCCAATAAAATCAAATTTTGTCATAATTTTAGGCCAAAATGTATTCCTCTACATGTTTTTGATAGAAAAAAATCCAAGTAAGTGTAAATTTAATGGTTTGCATGAAAGTTATAACATCTGCAAATGACGGTATATACAGTGGGGATCGAAAGTTTGGGCACCCCAGCTAAAAAATTGTATTAATGTGCATAAAGAAGCCAAGGAAAGATGGAAAAATCTCAAAAAGGCATCACATTACAGATTAGACATTCTTATAATATGTCAACAAAAGTTAGCTTTTATTTCCATCATTTACACTTTCAAAATAACAGAAAACAAAAAAATGGCATCTGCAAAAGTTTGGGCACCCTGCAGAATTTATAGCATGCACTGCCCCCTTTGCCAAGCTGAGACCTGCCAGTGTCATGGATTGTTCTCAGTCATCGTCTGGGAAGACCAGGCGATGTCAATATCAAAGGTTTTAAATGCCCAGACTCATCTGACCTTGCCCCAACAATCAGCACCATGAGTTCTTCTAAGCAGTTGTCTAGAAAACTGAAACTGAAAATAGTTGACGCTCACAAAGCTGGAGAAGGCTATAAGAAGATAGCAAAACGTTTTCAGATGTCAATATCCTCTGTTCGGAATGTAATTAAGAAATGGCAGTCATCAGGAACAGTGGAAGTTAAAGCAACATCTGGAAGACCAAGAAAAATATCAGACAGAACAGCTGGCAGGATTGTGAGAAAAACAACTCAAAACCCACGATTGACTGCACGATCCCTCCAGAAAGATCTGGCAGACACTGGAGTTGTAGTACACTATTCCACTATAAAGAGATACTTGTACAAATATGGTCTTCATGGAAGAGTCGTCAGAAGAAAACCTCTTCTACGTCCTCACCACAAAAATCATCGTTTGAACTTTGCAAATGAACATATAGACAAGCCTGATGCATTTTGGAAACAAGTTCTGTGGACCGATGAGGTTAAAATTGAACTTTTTGGCCGGAATGAGCAAAGGTACGTTTGGAGAAGAAGGGGCACAGAATTTAATGAAAAGAACCTCTGTCCAACTGTTAAGCATGGGGTTGGATCAATCATGCTTTGGGGTTGTGTTGCAGCCAGTGGCACAGGGAACATCTCACGAGTAGAAGGAAAAATGGATTCAATAAAATTTCAGCAAATTTTGGATGGTAACTTGATGCCATCTGTGAAAAAGCTGAAGTTAAAGAGAGGATGGCTTCTACAAATGGATAATGATCCTAAACACACCTCGAAATCCACGGGGGATTACATCAAGAGGCGTAAACTGAAGGTTTTGCCATGGCCTTCACAATCTCCTGACCTCAACATAATTGAAAATCTATGGATAGACCTTAAAAGAGCAGTGCGTGACAAACAGCCCAGAAATCTCAAAGAACTGGAAGACTTTTGTAAGGAAGAATGGGCAAAGATACCTCAAACAAGAATTGAAAGACTCTTGGCTGGCTACAAAAAGCATTTACAAGCTGTGATACTTGCCAAAGGGGGCAGTACAAGTATTAACTCTGCAGGGTGCCCAAATTTTTGCAGA